CTTGCATCCACAAAACATTTTTAATCTTTCATTGAACAATCTTCCTTTTAACAATTGTTACAGTGAATATATGCTTATTCTAATTAAGTTTCCCTGAAGGGAAAAAAGGTGAAATCAATGGCTAGATGTGGTGGCACATTCCTATAATCCCAGCACTTGGGAGGCTGAGGCAGGAGGATCATTGAGTTTGAAGCCAACCTGGGATATGCAGTGAGTTCAAATTTAACCTAAACTGCATAGCAAGACGCTAAAAAAAAAAAAAAGGCAGTGGGGAGGATAAGAAAAACCCACTTCTATAATCAAAGAAATTCTAATACTTACCAATTCACTGTTTCTATATAACTTTTCTACAAATACAAGAAGTTTTGTACAATATGTAATCATTTGGAAAAGAAAAGATTGGATCCTACGGGATAAAGAGGGGGAAGAAATAAGAACAATAGAAATGCCATAAGAGAGAATGACTTAAGGAAACCAACACCCAAGTTTCCTGCAGCTGACAGAGCTGACGGAGCTAAAATTCAGAACTATGCCGAAAGGTCGGGATTTTCAGGATTCTGATATGCTCTCCACTGGGGCTGGAACTGGGTCTGTCACATATTTGTATCTGCAAATTTTAGAACATAAATCTATTAATTATAATTATATTTGTAAATAAATATATAATAAATTTATATTTATAAATATATAAATAAAATAAATATAATTATAATATTAATATCATTAATTGAAGCAAATGAATGCATGAAGACTCTAAAATGCTGTATATTGGACAGGAGCTTTATGAAATGCTTTTGAAACATTTTGCATTTGAAGCATCTAATAAGAGTAACAACAGAAAGAATAATAGCAATGAACTAGTGTGAGCTTTTTATGACTTAATTTCCTTTGTTGGCTTAGGCATTTAACATCCTTCCCTGGGTACCAGGCACAAGGGTTCTGCCTTTATGGAGCTCACGGCCTCCTGTGGAGGCCACAAGGGGGCAAACAATAGTGATGGTGTTGATGCCAACACAATATCCAAAGCCTCCTTTCATCAGAAGCCAGTCCCTATTTGTAGCAGCACAGGTGCTCACAGTTTTCAGTTCCTTTGAATTTCTTTTCCCTGAGGTCGTTGACGGCTTTCAAAAAAGCCAGTTTATTCACTGAGCTCTAATGCTTCTCACAGGCAAAACCTAAGATGTAGTTGTAAGTGATGACCACAAGGGGGCACCAACAGATCAAGGAAATTTAATAGGCAGGGCAGAGTACATTCAAGACTGCGTAATTTAGATAACCTTCAACAGTAAAACGAAAACTATCCTAAGATTTCCTCCTGAGTTTTGGAAATTTAAAGAGATACGAAGGTGGAAAGAGGAAGGTGCAATTCACAAGCCATTTATTACTAAAATGACAGATATAACTAATATTTCAAAACATTACGTTTTTCTCAAAGAAGGAATTTAAGTAAAATATACATATTCTCATATGTTACCAGTTCCCATTTAAAATGTGTATCTCAAGAGTTATAAAGAGAAGAAAATAGGTGCAAAAAGTGTTATTTGATTATCAGTGTGAACTTGTAAATCATATTTTAAAATAACCAGAGCACAAAGCCTGGTTATATCAAATGGAAATATTTGTTTGCAGTGATCGACGACAGAGTTTTATAGCAGCAATTTCTAATTGTGGAAAGGGATAAATTCAGAATTCCACAGTCTCACTGAGTCAGTCTGTATCTGTTGTAAGTTCATTTTCAGCAGTTATATGAAACTGGAAATTCTAAGGAGATTTAGCCACTTAAAATAGGCCTGGATAGCTATGATTTCATTTTGTTAAGACATAAATCAGGGTAGAAAATATAAAAACTTCTTGCAGAATTGACTTACCTCTGTGAAATAATTTGAGTGTTTCTATGGGAGATTTGTGATGTTGACTTCAGAGATCTTTTGCGTAACTGCGATCTAATGTAAAATTTGTAAGTACAGCAAAGTCCTGAGAATACTGTGTGTTCAATGTCACTTACTTGAGTATTTTCTTCTGTTGGACATTTACACTCCACAAAGGTCTCACTTAAAGTCTTACCACTTGTCTATACTACTTCCTAAGCACTTTGTAGTCTGTGTCATTGAGTATCATAATTATTCATCAGTACTAACACCGTGAGCTCTGTACTGAGAGACCTGTCTTGTTCATCATTATATCCTATGTTCACAATATGACTGGAACATGGTAAGTACAAACAACCACATTTTCTAACTATCAACTTGCTTATGACTCTGTTATACATATTTTATTTTTTCTTCTTTAGTGCACCATTAGAGATATGGTCTAGGTTCAGTTCTGTGGGTGGGGATAGCCAGTTTTCCTACCATTTGTTAAAGAGGCCATCTTTCCTCCAGCAAAAGAATGTGGCCCTTTTGTCAAAAATAAAGGAGCTGAGTGTGCCTGAAGTTAATTATACATGCTCTATGCTTTTCCATTGACCTATAAGTTTGTTTTAGTGCCAATACCATGCTGTTTTAATCACTTTAGTTTTGTAGCATAACTTGACCCAGAACTGTGACGCGCCCTGGCATACAAGAGAACCAGAGCTGCCTTTGTTACTTTCAGTCTCTTCTGGTTCCATTGGAATTTAAGGGTTGATGCCTTTAGTTCTGTGAGGAATTTGATTTGGGTCGAGGTAAATCTGTACAACTGTTTTGCAAGGGTGGTTATTTTGACTATAATTGTTTTTGCATATCCAGGAAAACCAATACATTTCCATCTTTTGAGTCCTTTTTGATTCTCATTTTCAGAGTTTTGTAGTTTTCATTGCAGAGATCTCTCACTTCGGTGCTTAGGTTAATTCCTAGGGATTTAATTTTTAATGCTACCGTGTAGTTATTTCCCTAATTCTCCTTCAGTGAGTTTATTATGGTGTACATGGATGCGATTGATTTTAGAGTGTGGTCTTTGTATCCTGCTTCTGTTGTAAAATTGATTCCTAATTCTAGGAGTATTTTGTGTATTTTTTGCAGTTTTCTATTGTAGAGTATTATGTCATCTGCAAACAATGATAATTAAACTTCTTCTTTTCCTGTCCATAACCCTTTTACCTTTTATTTTTTTCTGTTGTATAATTGCTCTGGCTAATGTTTCCAGAACTATATTCAACATAAGTGTGATAAAGGACATTGTTGTCATGTTCTTGATTTTACAGGGAAAGCTTTGAAGAGGGGCTGGGGATTTAGCTCAGCAGCATAAGCACCTGCCTTGCAAGCAGGCGGTCGTGAGTTTGATCCCCGGTAACGATAAAAAACAAACAAACAAAAAAACAAAAAAACTTCTCTCCATTTAGTATGATGTTGGCCATTGGTTTTTCATAGCTGGCTTTTATTGCATTGAAATAGTGCTGTTTTCTTCAGGATTTTGATAGTTAATGGGAGTTGGATTTTGTAAAATGCTTTTTTGCATCTATTAAGGTGATCATGTGACTTTTATCTTTCCTTTGTGTATGTAGTATATTATGTTTATTGATTTGTGATTGTTGAAACAACCCTACATCCCTAGAATGGATTCTAACTGGTTATGATGTATGATATTTTTGATGATCTGCTGCATTCTATTTGCCAGTGTCTTACTGAGGATTTTTGCAGCGATGTTTATTAGGGAGATTGGCCTGTAATTCTCTTTCTTAGTTAGGTCATTCTCTGGCTTTGGAATCAGAGTAATGCTTGCTTCCAGGAATGAATTTGGGAGTATTGCTTCTCTTTCAATTTCATTAAAGAGTTTGAAAAGTTGTGATGTTAGGTCTCCAATAAATTTCTTGTAGAATTCAGCAGTGAATCTATCAGGGCCTGGGCTTTTCTCTGTTGATAGGTTTTCAATTGCATCTTCAATTTCATTTATTGATATTGGGTTATTTAGGATTTTTATATCTTCTTGATTGAGATTTGGTAATTCATATGTGTCTAGGAGTCTACCCATTTCTTCTGTATTTTCTGTCTTGTTAGTTAATGGGAGTAGGTATAGATGATTTTCCCGATTTCTGCAGGGCCTATTTTGATTTTGCCTTTTTCATTCTTTTCCCTTTCTTTTTTGACAAGGTTTGTCAATTTTACTTAGTCTTTCAAAGAACCAAACTCTTCAATTCATTGATTCTTTGCATTGCTTTTTAGTCTCCATTGTGTTGATTTCTGCTCTTATTTTTATAATTTCCTCCCTCATATGAGCTTTTGGTTTATCTTGCTCTTCTTTTTCTAGATGTTTGAGGTTCAGCATTAGGTTGTTTATATGTGTTTGTCCTGCTTTCCTGATATGCGCACTACCACAATGTGGTGGTCCGATATTGTGTGTTGCCAATATTATTCAACAGTAAAAACTGCCTAATGTCTTCTTTAATTTCATCTTGATCAACTGGCTGTTCAGTAGGGTGCTATTTAATTTCCATGTGTCAATGAAGTTCTTGGGGTTTCCTTTGACATGGATTTCCAATTTCATTGCACTGTGCTTTGATAGTATGCATGGGGTAATTTCAATTCCTTTACATTTACTTAAGCATGTTCTATGAGCCAGTATATTGTCTGTTTTGGAGAATGTCTCAAATGCAGCTGAGAAGAATGTATATTCTGCTGTTGCGGGGTAGAACACTCTATGGACATCCATTTGTGCAAAAATTTTATTTAGTTCTAACATTTCATTATTGATTTAGTTCTAATGTTTCATTATTGATTTTTTGTCTAGTTGATCTGTCTTTTTGCCACAAGTGGGGTATTGAGGCCACCCAATACAATTGTATTAGGGCTTATTTGATTTTTCATGTCCATTAGTAATTGTTTTATATAACTAGGTGCACTGGTATTTGTTCCATATATATTTATGATTGTTATCGCTTCCTCTTGAATTGTTCCCTTTACAAGGATGTAGTGACGTTCTTTCTGGATTCGCTGCAGGAAAAACAATTTCCACAGGCCTGTGCCCAGCTAGGAGGTGCTGGAGGAAGCTGGCAGAAGTCCTGGTTCTGGGCTTATCCGGCCAGCTCCAGCATGGCTCCCAGCTAATCGCTCTCTCCCAGTGGGAGGACTGCATCCTCTGCACTCCCTGCCAGCCCGCGCAGTCCTCCACATCTGCTGCTCCTCTTCTCTTCTCTCTTGGACACCTCTGGTGTTCGCCAGCCACCACCATGTCCATGAGTCCCCAGGTTCCAGCAGCTCCTCCATGCAGTCAGTCTGGCTCCAGGTAAAGGTGCTGTCAGCTACTGCCTTCTTCTCAGTTGAATTTTTTCTTTTCACTCTCTCTGTGGGCTTCAGTTCACACCTCAGACTCTTCCTGGGCCCAGCGGGCCCACTTCCTTTCTGCTTGTCTTCCTCACATGCTGTATTTCAGTGTGTGAACGGTGACTCTCAGAGATGCTGTGTTCTCTGTTGCTTACTGCTCCGCCATCTTCCCAGAGGTTGAATTTTCTCTTTTATTAGTGTCTCAGTTTTGAAAGCAGTTACCAATGATTTTCTGGATTTTGGCAGAAGCATTTTTATTTTTTCTTTAATTTTTAACTACATAGGTTTGGGTCTGTTTTGGTAAAATTGGCTAAAGGTTTGTTATTTTGTTTATTCTTTCAAAGAACTAACTGTTTGATTCATTGATTTTTTTTCTTTTAGTCTCAATTTCATTAATTTTTGCTCTGATCTTTAATTTCATTCCTTGTGCTAGCTTTGGATTTGGATTCTTTTTTTCTAGGAACTTGAGATACATCATTAGGTTATTTGTTTGAACTTGTTGAACTCATTGCTATAAACTTCCTTCTTAGGACGCTTTCATTGGGTGCCAGTTGTCATACTGACATTATTGTTTGATTTTTAGGGATTGTCTAATTTTTGCCTTAATTTTATCTGTGACCTATTGATTACACAAGAGGGTACTATTTAATTTCTCTGTGTTTGCACAGTGTTTGTGGCTTCTTTTGCTATTGATTTCTGGTTTTATTGCACTGTTATGATCTAACAACACGGGTGGGGTAGTTTTGATTATTTTACACTTCCTTAAGCACACTTTATAGGGTTGTATTTAGTCTGTTGGAGACAGTCTCATGTGCTGCCTAGAAGAATGGATATGCTGTTATTGGATGAAATATTCTATAGATATCTATTAAGTCCATTTATTAGAAGGTTTGGTTCAACTCTTTCATTGAATGTATGTCTAGTTGATCTGTCCATTATTATATTTTATCTTTGGGATTTTTAAATTTTTCTTGGGACAGGGTCTGACTCTGTAGTCCAGTGGCCTTGAACTCACTATATACCCGAGGCTGGCCTTGAACCTATGGCAGTCCTCTTGCTTCAGTCTCCTAAGTGCTCAGATTATAAGTGTGCAGCACCACACCTGGCTATGAACTGTCCATTTGGGACAATGAGGTACTGAGATCTCCTTTTACAAATGCATTGGTATCTATTTGATTTTTCATGTCCATTTTGTTTGTTTTAAGATGTTGAGTGCATCAGTATATGATGCATATATGATTATAACTGTTTTCTCTTCCTGTTGAATTGTTCCCTTACCAATATGTAATGACCTTCTTTATCTCATCTGATCACTTTTTGCTTGGAAATTCACTATGTCTGAAATTAAGATAGCTACTTTTTCTTTTTACTGGGTTTCTATTAGGGTTAGAAAAAGTCAAAGAGAGAAAAGTTAAAAAGGAAAAGAGAAAAAAAAAAAGAGTTAAGAAGAGATGAGAAGCAGTCTGGATGTACGCCAGTCTGGCTCGCGTACTTGGGGAGAGCGCCTGGCGCACACTTGTAATCTCAGGACTTGGGAGGCTGAAGCAGGAAGATTAAGGCCTGTCTAGGATATACAAGCAAGTTTAAAGCCAGCAGTCACTACAATGTAAGACCTTTTCTGAGAGAGAGACAGAGAGAGAGGGAGAGAGAGAAGAAGCAAAGAAGGACAGAAAAATTCTTGAAATCTCAACAAAGAAAGAAGAAAGGAGGATAGCAAAGAAGAAAAAGAAAACTCCTCCCACAAATGATGCACATGCTCAAAACAAACAAACAAACAAACAAACAAAAACCCAAAATTTAAGAAACAAACAAAAAGTAAATTTCTTCTTGATTCTGAATGTTTTTTCCTCCTGGGTTCTATAATTTTGGGACAGTATCCAAGTCAAGACATAGCACTGCTCCTGCTGGAAGATAAAAAAGCAGTCAGCCCCAGATCCACGCAGAAACCAGCAGGCAGTAGAGTTAAAAGACAGTGTGCCTTGTCTTTCAAATCCAGAACCACTCAGGTTGAAGCTGGCCTCTGGCCATGGGGCAGGGCCAGAGCCTTCAGCTTAAACCTCTCCAGGGCTTTCTTCTCAACCTGACACAGCTTCCTGAGCACGCTGAGTCCTGCGGCTGTCTCTGACTCAGTCACTGTGGGAGCATCGTTGGTGGCACCGGCCAGGCGCTGTCCCCACCGGGTCGCTCACCCTCCGCTGCCTGGAAGGCCTCACGGAGCGGATCCTGCTCTCCCTGCAGCTCGCGGCACCTGCTGCTTTGCTCTGGGCTGCGTGTCACCCTGAAGCCCTCGGGAGTGTCCCGCCTTCTGTGGATTTGGTGTCCCTTTCCCAGGAGCTGGTGGGGAAGATGGGATTGTTCTCCTGTTCTCCAGGTCGTGTTCTCTCTCCGGATTCTCTGTAGGTTTTAATTTTCCTGTCAGATCCTTGCTGTTGCCCTGGGAGCTACTTCTCTGGTTTTTTCCTTCCCCAACTTGTTACTTTTCTGGTGTCTGGATTCTGAATCTCAGCAAGGCTGAATTGCTGCCTAGCGTGCTGCGATTTTCTCAGAAGGAGCCTTGAAGCCTCTTTGTGTGGTTTTGTGTGCTTGCTTTTTCGTATAATGTTGGCCTAGTTTTGGCGTCAGGATGGTGCTTGGATCACAGAATGTGTCTCAGTCCTGCTCTCTTTCGCAGGGCTCCCGGCTCCCACTGTGGAATGTGCTGCTTTTCCTGTTTATTGGCCCACAGTCACTCTGCTGAGCGTATTTCTCTTCCTAGCTTTAGTAAACATAAAACTTTGCTACGTTATAGAAAATAAAATGAATTGAAAGAAGTTCCCACTTGTTTAATTTTCTGAGATGCTGTATAGGATTAGTGTTATTTCTTCCTTTAAATATTCCATATGTTGTTGTGGTAACATATGCCTATCACTGCTAAGGCTGAGGCAGGAAGATTGCTGTGAGTTCTAGGCCAGCCTGGGAAACATAACGAGTTAAAACAATAACAACAAATTAAAGTTTTGAAAGTTTTGATAGCATCCATCAGTGCAGCAATTTGGGCTTTAAATTTGTTTTGCTGAAAGGTTACAAATTCATTTGAAGACTTTTCTATAGGACCATTCAGATTTCCTTTTTGAGTCAGGGAGGCTGAGAAAAGATCACAAGTTCAGGGCCAGCTTGTGTGATTTTATGGCTCAAAACAAAATTTTTAGAAAGGGCTTGGACTATCTCTCAGGAGCACAACACTAGTTAAGTTTCTCTGTTATGCTTTAAATAATTATCTTTTGAAAAAGGTTAAAATATGAAAAGGGATTTAACATTAACTCATATAATTTTTATTCCTGGTATTCTTCACGCTTTGTAAATGTCCACATTTTCATAATAATTTTTTGTGTATCTGAGTCCTTCCTTCTAGCAAAGACATGCTTGAAAAAGTTGTGATGAATTATTCAGCTTTTGTTAATTTTAAAGATTTATTATGACTTCATTTTTTAAAGACATTTTCCCATGGTAGAGAATTTTACATGGGTTGAATTATTTTCACTCTAAAGATGTTCCACTGTTTTCTGATCTGCAGAGACTCTAAGGAGAAAGGTGTCCCCAAATCCCTTGCTTTTAATCTTTGTCCATGTACCTGCTTTTTCTTTTACATTTATTTTCAACAATATGAATCTGACATCCTTTTAAGCAGTATTCTGTATGCCACTTTGGATTTGATTTCCTTGGTCAGTGGATTATTTTTTAATCTTTAGAAAATGCTCAGTCAGCTTTTGAACACATTCTCTTCTCTACATCTTTCTGAGGTTTCATTTAAATATACATTATACCACTTGGTATCTTCCCATGGCTCAGTTCATTGACATTTGGTGCTTCTTTCCTTCTGTATGCTTTATTGTGGCTAGTTTTTATTGCTGTACCTTTAAGTACACTGATTATTTTTTTCCTATGGTGTTCTCCTACAGCAGGTAGGTTATTAATCCTTCCAACCTATTTTTAATTATTGAACTTTTATCTCCATAAAATCCATTAACAGAGGTTAACCCAACAGGAAGCCAGCCATTCCCTGGCTTGATATAGAGACCATGATTACACTATTTGATTTCTACCTAGACAGAGCTTACAGCCTTCAATCAATCAGCAATTGTTGAAGTAGACTCCCCAGACATACACATCAGCAGAGAGTGAACCATCAAAATTGAGCCTGAGAAAATTTGCAAAGAATGGCCTTAGATCTCGGAAATTCATTTTTCCATGAGCCATTCCCAAACAAACTTGAATCAGAAAACTTAGAGTTTAAATCAACTCAAGGATCTGCTGTCCCAAGGAGAGTGATCTCTGAATTCTCAAGCACTGAGCTCAACACATTTCAGTACACTGATAAGTCATGGGCGAGGAGGAAGTACAAAGTCTACAAATTTTTTCCCTCATGACTGCAACGAGAAAAGCATAGCAAGGATGCGATTACGTCTCAGTTAACCATGGAGCAGTTTATGCTTAGTGACCTCGCCAGGGACAAGACTATGTTGAAAAAGAAACAGAAATCGAGTTATAAAAACCTAGAGAAATTTGTGGAAGACCTGACAGATGGTTGTATGAAGCCACCTGTATTAGTCTATGTCTGCTTGCAAGGACAGGAAGCTCTCTTTTCTGAGGATACGTCCTGAAAAGAAGTCATTGTTAATTTTTAAAAACAGCTGTCAGCAGAAACCTTAAGAGGAGAGAATATGTGAACATCTTGCCAGGTTTCCCAAAATGCTCCTTTGGAAACAAGACAAGGAAGTGAATATAAAGTAGATGGCTGCAGCAATTTCTGAGAAATTACTCAAGTAAATGGCAATATTACTAATCCAGGAAAAGAGATAGCTCTCCTTCTCATCATCCTGGAAGAGAACTGTCCTAGGCCTGAAAAGAAGGGTGTTTCTTGGGAGAGCCCACCCAACTGCAGAAGAGCAAGGCTAGACACCTAAAGATTGCAGGAAGAGTCCC